TCTTCTCTGAAAACACTAATTCAGGTATTATTTCTGTATTGGTAACTAATCACTATTTGAGACTTACCTGCAGATTTGACAACTAAACTATAACTAGTCTATATCTAGAAAGAAGATTCTTTCCATGCAGCCTGCTTCAAAACATGAATTTTCCATCCATCATAGTCTCAAAACTATGATCCAGATTCTTATTGCCAAATATCTTGCTTTTTGCAACATTGTATTCTGTGAATTTAAATCCAATTTAGCCTGCTATCTATCTCTCATTGTGTTCTTGGCCATTAACTTTGATTGTAATGTTTTTTGCCTTGCATACTTCCACTGATTCCTCCTCAAAATAGGAAGCATAAGCTGTTTGTCTTCTCTTTGAAAGCATTTTTTGCCTATCATACCTGATTTATTACTGAGAGTTTACCTCCAATCATCATTTGATCCAGGATGCAGGCCTCCATCATTTAAATTCTGGATCATTCATACAACTGCTTTCATACTGTCTCCTTAGCAGTCCAGCATGCTTACAAATAGCTCTTGGTAAATACTTAAGAAAAGAGTAATTACTTATAATCCTTTAAAGTCATCATAGCTGTGTTTCCTACCTGCTCCAGGTCAGCCTCCTGGCTGTTACAGTCCAGTGGTGTCTCACTGCCCGCACATGTTCCCGTTCACTGTCTCTTGATGCAAATCACATCAAGCAGTCCTGACGAAGCAGCTATGTCCTGTACTTACATGGTATGATAGAATGCTAGCCCATGGCAAGTGCTGCCAGGTATTGTGTGGGCTGCTTGTGGGTGGTCTAGCACGCTTGGATGTTGAATCTCAACCGGCATCGGCTTCCTCTGTAGAGCTGGCTCCAACCAGGGCTATGGCCTACCCCACTGCATACAGGAAAAACTCAGTTCTCAGGCTTACTCCTGCTTGCAAAGTCTAGCAATTTCATTGGAGATACTTTCCTGATATTTACTTTCCAGGTCTGGGAGACCTTCAAAGGGGTCAGGTTGGAGAAGAGTACAGGCTATGCTTCCTTAAGAAACAGGGAGATGTCTGAGACCTGTTTCCCCTGAAACCCAGTACTACACTTTGAGTGACCTCAGTCATCTTCAGTATCAGCAGGACACCTTTCAGAAAGTCCATTTATAATTTTATACATTTCAGACACATCTAGAAATGGAGTTGTGTTAGTGGGGTAGTCCTGATATCATTGTTTGCAAAAAGGACTCCCAGCCTCACCTCCAGATAACTGTTGTAGAGTCAAAATCCCATAACTATGGGTCTGTAGACCTGAAACAGTAAGGAGATCAGTTCTTGGAGTCCTCATAAAGGTGTAGTTAACACTATTGTTTGATTTCTCCTTCTTGTAGTCTGATCTCTCTCTCCCTTGCATCACAGTTTGGGAGGATCTCTAGAATGGTGCAGTTCCTATTTCTGCATCAGAAAATTGTAAGCATGTACTCTAAAGATACTGCTAGTGTAAAAAAAGTCTCAGTCTCAGTCCTCTGGGCCACACAACCTGCCACATGAACTTAGAGTGGATATGGGGACTACATATCTTGGAGAACTCCAGTTGCTGGTAAACATCCTTCAGTGAAATAAATTATGGCCTCTGTTGCAACAAGTTTTATCCGCAAGTTTCACTGTGTAAGTAGATTGGGGAAAATAAAGTCCACAAACCACATATATACATGTCTTATTTTTGGCACTCCTTCCCTTATCATCCATTCCAAATCCACTTGGATACTGCTGACACTAAGCTAGAGTGACCTTAACTGACCCAGTTCTTAGTTCTGTGTTAATTAGTTGACAGGTCACATCTCTGTAATTCTTAGATTATGACAACACTGAAAGGTACAGGTGATCTGCACAGCACAGTGGGATCTCATACATGGTAACTCCATAATGAAAATTATAATAAATAAAGATTTTTCATCAGAAAATACTCTTATATCATAAAATCATAGAATGGTTTCGGTTGGAAGGGACCTTTAACTTCATCTAGTTCCAAACCCCATGCCATGGGCAGGGACACCTCCCACTAGAACAGATTGCTCAAAATGCCATCCAACCTGGTCTTGAACACTTTCAGGGAAGTGGAAGCTTACCTGTCACCTTATCTGGGCAATTTGTGCCAGTGACCCACCACCCTCTGAGTTAGCAATTTCTTCTTAATATCTAATCTAGAAATACTCTCAGTTTGAAGCCATTCCCCCTTGTTCTGTCACTAGAGGCTCTTGTAAAAAGTCTCTCTCCATCTGCCTTACAGGCTCCCTTCAGGTACTGGAAGGCTGCAATTGGGTCCCTCCCAAAGCCTTCTCTTCTCCAGGCTGAAAAAACCTAATTCTCTCAGCCTTTCTTCATAGGAGAAGATCTCTTCTTTATCCCTCCAATAATCTTGGTGGCCCTCCTCTGGACTCACTCCAACAAGTCAATGTCCTTCCTATTCTGGGGAACCCAGAGCTGGACACAGCACTCCAGGTGGGGTCTCACCAGAGCAGAGCAGAGGGGCAGAATCAATTCCCTCAGCCTGCTGGCCACACTGCTTTTGATGCAACCCAGCATACAATTCACTTTCTGGGCTATGAGTGCACATTGCCAGCTCATGTCCAGCCTCCCATCTACCAGCACCCTCAAGTCCTTCTTGTCAGCTGCTCTTGTTCTGTTCATCCCCAGCCTGAACTGATACCGGGGGTTGCCCTGACCCGGGTGCAGGACTTTTCACTTGGTGTTGTTGAACCCCATGGGCTCGCTTCTCAAGCTTGTCCAGGTCCCTCTGGATGGCATCCCATCCTTCAGGTGTGTCACCTGCACCACTCAGTTTGGTGTAATCTGCACATTTTCTGAGGGTGCACTCAATCCCTAATCCAATGTGACTTCAAATAATCTTTACATTTGATACTAATGATTAATCTAGTGTATTACTACTCCTGTAGAGTAGATAAGCATAAAGAAGGGTAGCCCAGGGGCTACAGAAATATTGGAGAGTTTGGGAAACTCAGGATCCAGTTCTGACACTGTCTCATTACAACACTTTTGATTTCGGGCAAGTTATTTACCCGCTTTATAACTCAGTCTTCAGTCTGGAAACTGATGATACTGATGCTTCTGTGCTCCAGAGGAGTCTTATACTGACAAATACAGTCAAAAGTTCTGAGATCTCAGGATGGTATGGGAAGCACCATACAGTCAGACTTCATTTATCTGTGGTTAGATTGTTAAGGCCGTGGATGAAGAGCCAGCTTGAGTCTAATATGATATATTAGCTCAGGCACAGCGCCACATGAATGCAGTTATGCTCTTTCTAGGGCCAGCTCTGCTGTGGAAAGACTACATCTGCTTTCGTGAGAACCTAGCTGGCTCCATCCCGAGGCAGCTCAGGTATTTCACCACCAGAATTATTGGGGGCGGGGGCTGGGGTTGGGGGGGAGGGAGGGAGGGAGGAGCAGAATCACCCAGCAGAATCCTAGCCTGAATCCAGCTGGGTTTATGAGACCTGGCTTTGCGCCAGCTGTGCGAGATCCACGCTGTCTCCCAGCTTTTGCACCTGCTCCACAGCGCCCAGGGTCCTGTGGGGCTCATTAGGTCAGGCACAACGGGTTCGGCACCGCAAGCAAGCAGTCACGGTCTGTCGATACCTGCAATGCTGGGGAACAGGCTGTGAGTGAGGAGCAGAGAAATAAATGGCACTGCGGGGTCAGCGTAGCGGATGCTACGAGGAATTAACAGACCCTCCTGCATCAAAGATAAATTTACCTGGAACCTCTTGTCTTCTCCCTTGTATCAGCCTCCCTTATCCGTACTATTGGGGTTCCCATTTTACTATCTCTACAATACCTTTGCCAAGCAGAGAGGTGGCTAGAAACCATTAAAAATCACTTACTGAAGTCCTCACACTTCTAAGCCATCTTGCCAGGACAATGTTTCCAATGCCAGTGTTTCCAAAGACACTTTGGAACGTGTGAGATCAGATTTTAGGAAGCCAGAAGGAAAGGCGGGGAAAATAAATGAGTCAAGGTCTTGAAACTGGGGTTGAAAGAAATAATTATCAAACACTGCGGGAAGAAAAGCAAAGAAATGGAAAAGAATGGAAAAGGAAATAAAAAAAGAAAGGAGAGAAGTGAGGAGGACTAGGTTTCCTAAAGCTGTAAGCAAGGCAGAGAAAGGACGAGGAGGCTTTGCGGGGAGAGGGAGAAGCCCGCCAAGGAAGCGCCTTCAGGCAAAAGCACCAGCGGCTCCCGGGCCGGGTTGGCGTTCGGGCCCGGCGGGGGAGGGGGCGCGGGCCGGGGCGGGCGGCGCTTGTGCCGGGCGGCGGGAGGGCCGGGGCGGCAGCACCACCCCCGGACCGCGGCCCCGTGCAAACCAGCAGAGCACGCACGGACCCGACGCATAAA